AGATAGATAGATAGATAGATAGATAGAGAGATAGATAGATAGATAGATAGATAGACAGATAGACAGATAGATAGATACTAATTCAGATCATACTATAGACTTCGAACCTCGAACTACAGTACTGCATTGTAGATCAAATTCTTTACCCACTGTATCAAAGCAGCCAGCAACCCAAGCTATAATTTTAAACAGTACTAAGACCCCCCCCCCCCCACACTCTCTTTTTCTCCTTTCCCTCCATGTTATCTCACAAGGTAACTAATCTTTAATTTCGAGGTTCAATCATACAAGCAACCTAAACTGCTGAAAAGGGTGTGAAATTCAAACTCGAACTCAAACTAAGTGATGCCTGTAGTTCTTACATTCAATAGCCCATTTGCAGAGTGAGTCATCCAAGCTGACCACAGATCCTTGAGTGTCCAGCGACGCCTCTATCCGATCGACCAAATCACGTGATACCTCATAGAGTGACGTCACGTGCTTGCTGATTTCCTGTGGTCTCATGATCGGTTTGTCAATGGCTTTGCGCATCCTCACCCAATCCTGCGGTTTTCTGAATAAACGCATGTTTGTAGAAATACAGGTGTCATGCATACATGTCCTCCTCCTCCTCCTCCTCCTCCTCCTCCTCCTCCTCCTCTTCTTTTACCAGTTTTCTTTTTATATTACACACATGCACACATTTGCATATTAAAATATCCGCACCTTAAAGATCCCTTGTTGGTCGTTAAGTCGGGTACATGTGAGAGTACGCCCCGGCCGCCACCAGGGCAAAATTAAAAATTCATACAAAACTGGAAATGTTTTATGTGTCCCGCACGTTGATATGACTTTATGAAGTTGTGAGCGCCGTAAAACACTTACCAAAACGAAAACAATCGTGTTTATCATGGGTTTATGTACTCACGCGTTGAGCAAGCTGTTCGGGTGTCCTCGGGACTGGAAATAGTCCACCTGAAGTTTGATGGGCGGCCGGGCGGGGACGGTGGTGTCCCCTGCCAACAGCTCCCTCACTACCGCCGGGTCAGCCACCATGACCGTCTCTCCGAACTGAGGGATACGTTCAACCCACACGGATCCGTACGTGTCAAACCGTTGTTGGTTCAGGAGGTGCCACTGACCTAGTGCGGAGAGTGGGAAGAGGCATAACAACATGAACGTTTCGCGCGACGATCAACACACTTTAGATAACTCAATAAAAGTCCATGTTTGTCGCAGCCAACCCAGCATTCAAAGTGCATTGCACCGCCGGCTTTTTTTTTTTTTTTTTTTTTTTTTTTTTGTCGTCGGCCGGCCAGACGGCCTATAACGCCTGCCGTCTGCCTACAATAAGATTGTTGTTTATAAACTAATGGCAAACTGCTTCCTATCGAGGAAAAAAATATTATTAAATTCGAAACTAACTAATAACAATTTACCAAGGTGACCTGCGGATGACCCTTTTGAAGGTCACAAAAAGAAGTAATTTTACCAAGATTGCATCTAGATCTAGTAATATTTTACTCGTATTTTCACAAACAGGACGGACACCTGACAGCTTACCTTCTTTAGGACTCTTTTATTTCTTTTTCCCGTTGAGATCACAATAATACCAATCCAGTATCCCACCCACACCAAAGCCAAAAGTAAATAAAGTAGTAGATAGATAAATAAGTAAATAAACAAAGAGAGAAAGAAAGAAAGAAAGAAAGAAAGAAAAACACAAAAACATAAATAAATAACACCCC